AGAGAGAGAGAGAGAGAGAGAGAGAGAGAGAGAGAGAGAGAGAGAGAGAGAGAGAGTGAAAGAGAGTGAGATCTGGTGTACCACGAAGGAAGATGAGCATGATGGACACACAGATACAAACAAACAATCTCTGCTGTCGACTGGTTTCCACTAGTACTCTTTTTGGCCACACACAACTGAAATCTTTTCTTTCCTGAGCATTACCGGTCCCATTCCCATTCCCATTCCCATTCCCATTCCCAGTCCCAGTCCCAGTCCCAGTCCCAGTTCCATTCCCCAGTCCCAATCCTGATCCCGTGCTTTGAGGGCAACATGCGAGAATCAAGAATCGGTGTTCCTCACTGCAGGAAGAAAAACCCACTTACCTTCTAGGACCTGTTGTGATCTCTTACCCTGGAGGTTCTTCCTCACCGCAAGGAAAGGGATTATGTGGAGGTGCACATCCCTGGAGAGTGAATGTTGCACGCATGTAAGTCTTAATAAAGATCACTGGTCCAAATTCAGACTCATGGAAGATCATGTGAGTTTGAGCATCCAACCCTCTCAAGGGGGGAAAGAAAAGAGAACATGCCTTTATAACCTTCCAAAGAAGTACCAAACTCTGATCAAACATTCCCATAGACTTGCAGTAGATTGCCCTGCATCTCCCCGAATTTCAACAACTCCATATCATCCTTTAAGCTAGCCCTCTTAAACCACCAGTACTTCTGACCAATGTTTGCCTGGCGGGGCTCCAAATTCCCTGCACGCCAAGAAAGAACGAACCCGCGTGGGCCACGCTTTTGGTACCACCTCCAGCCATTTTGCTCTGGCTGCCGACCCCCAAAATTTGTGGTTTGCATGCAAATGCGTCGGCGAAAAATGGCTGCGAAACGTACAGGTGGTCAATCGGCAAAAGTGAAGAGAACGTGACTTCAATAACTTCCATAGTTACCTCCAAACTCTGGTCCAACATTCCCATAGACTTGTAGTGAACTCGTTTACATCATCTCGCCAATGGAAAGAAAAGAGAAAACATTTTTTCTGAGACTTGCCGTGGACTGTCTGCATCTCTCTTCGAATTTCAACAACTTTATATTATCATTCATGCTCATGCTCATTTGCTGATGTAATAATGAGAAAGAGGTGGTGAGAGAAATTAATGCGCATGAGACAGCTACAGAACAAATAATGCCCGTCCATTAAATCTACAACGATTCTACGTAAAGTTATGGCATTATGATCAATAATATGAAATTTATGAATACATTAACTTCCTAGAAAAACGTCCTACTGAAATACAACTAATCTCCGGTGGAGTGGGTTACACAAGGACCTCTCCCGTGAGGAATGGATGCTTCATGACAGCCTCCGCTGTCGGGCGTTGCCGATAGTCAGGGTTCAACATAGCCTGGTGAAACAAGGAAAACATGGCCCCCATGGCCAGAAAACACAAAGAAAGAGTTGCATTAGAATTGTCAAAACTTTTCTTTTTCCGATTCGAAAGACACCAATTGTCACCAACCTTATTAACAATGAACGGGGTCCTCACAGTCGACGCAGAAAGTACTGGGGTCATTACTCAGCTTTTGGTTAAGCAGAAAGACTCTCAGGCAAATGGGGCCTGTTCACATACCATTACCAGATTCCCAACATCACACTACCTAAGAATGTTCCCAGCACAGCAAAAAACAGATAAAACAAGTAAAGTTTGAAACCATTGGAAACAATGAGCTTTCGATGACATGGCTGCGTGAAGGGGGGGGGGAACAAGGAAATGCCGAGAGAGGTGGGGGGCAGGGGTGGCAAGGGGGGCAGGGCGGGAAGAGGGGGAAGGGGCAGCAGGGGGATGGTGGTTGGGGGGAGGGAAGGTTAAGGACTCCTTGTCCATGGGGCTCCTCTAGGCCAAGCAAGACCGTTTAGAAAATGGTATTGCTGTAGTGGCCTCCAGTGGCTACAAGGAGGTGCCTACAGAGGTGGGGGGCAGGGGGAGAAGGCAGGGAAGGGGCAGCAGGGGGATGGAACGTTAAGGACTCCTTGCCCATGGGGATCCTCTAGGCCAAGGGAGACCGTTTAGAAAATGGTATTGCTGCAGTGGCCTCCAATGGCTAGTGGTGATATTCCTGAGCTTGCATCTGTCTTCCAGCAACAAAACAGGGAAAGGTGTGTGGCTCACATCTGGAAAAAAGGAAGAGAAAACAAGAACGTTGTTTTCTTGTTTTCGTAAAGTGTGGGCCCGAGCTGCGTATGGAGAAAAGAGTTTAACATCTGTTCGACATTTTTCAAATTTGAATGACCTGTGGCGAGCACGGATAAAGTGTGGCCAGCACAGATGACGTCGAGAGGATTGACGTCATCAAGATGGATGGATTCCCTAATTTCCATTCCCTTCTGGGATCCTGAATCAGTGACATCTACTGGGCTTTGTAGCACATGCAAGTGATGGCATACTCACACTAGGACACTGTATGCAGTTATTCCTCTTTTTCCTCCTTACTATTGCCTCTTTGATCGTTTCTTCTTTTAGCTCCCTCGTTACTGTGCCTCTCACATGCAAGGCTCGCCATGTGTTGATGAAGCCTCGCCACGTTGATGAAGTTAAACCACCAGTACTTGGCCCAGCTATGGCTCACGGGAAAAAATAGAGTAGAAACATTTCTAGTCGGATGAATTTGGGCGCTCCTGTAGTGGCCCGTACGTTTCCTAAATTGTGGCTTGTGTACGGGCACGACTTAAGGAAGTACTCGTAAGTGTGACATGTACGCATCCCTGTGCGTTGTAATGGCCCACTTGTACATTGTGAAAAAGAGGCAGAGAAAATGGAGAGGGGATGAACCGAGAGTAAAGATCGGGACGACAACAAAACAAAGGAAGGCAAATGGAAAATGAGGGAAAGTAAGGGAAAGTAAGGAGTGTGGAATGCAGATGGAAGCATAGGAAAGGATCGGAAATGGCTCAGGAAGCATTCTGACCATGACGACAGAGAGGATATACATTGGAAGGATGAGATGGATGAGAGGACATGGAAGACCTAGCTGAACATTCTCAGCACAACAATTGCCACACCGGCTGGGGTTAAGCACTGCCAACAAACATTCTCGACAATTGGCATGTCAATTGCAGGCCAACATGAAGGAAGAACGGGCACCACAAAAGACCATGCATTCAGTATAATCATACTAGAATGCCCATGGCCATAAAATGGACATCTAATGTCTGGATGTGAAGGGTGTCTGCGGCCAGGAAAGGAGGGGCAATCCGCACACACGGGCACAGAGACCACGCCATTGTACTGATTGTGACCGATATGACGGGGATGCAGCCGAGTGTGACATTGTTTGTAGCTGTGCGGAGAGGAAGGTCACAGAATGTGGACTCGTTGTCCTGCTGCGTCACAGGGACAGAGAAATGATCTTGGATGCAACAGACCGTGCAGATGGTATGATGTGGCAAGAAGCATGTAGCGTGGTTATGTATGAAATCAGCAACATCAGTCATGGCATGGAGCATGGTGCTGTTGTCCCACAGCCCCAGTGACCCCAGGGGCATGTACAATATCCATGTCATGGCCAAGTCCCTGTACAATGCAGGCAGTGATGTGGGACGGAGGATGAAACCACTCACCAAACCACTCAGCTGCCTGAGCATTGCGTAATTCAAGCTGCCGGTTCCTCATTGCTACTTGTAGGACAGCAATTGTAAAGCGTGTGTAATGACCCGCCAAAAACACAGACTGAGAACACTGCTGATTTCTGGGATTTGCCACTGGAATGAATGCCTTGCTGTGATTCCCGCATTCTGCTGTGGTTTCCAAGTCTGTGTGTGTGTGCGTGCCTGCTGGTTTGCACGCCTGTCTGAGTGCTTGTCGGTTGAGTGTGTTTGTGACCCGCAAGGGTACTTATTGGTTGCAAGGCCCCGCAGGGACGGTACTTACCTGTGGCCGTGACTTTGAGGGTTGCAGTGGGGGAAAACACTCGAGTACGGGGGGTAGGCCCGCGACACCTGCTGAGGGGAAAAACACTCAAGTAGCAGGTAGGCCGGTACCACTGAAGTAGTGGTAGAAGTGTCGGGTACTGGAGGCTGAGCAGAAGAAGACAAAAAGTTGGCATTTTTAGAGGCCCAGTAGCGGTAGGCTAGAGGTAGGCCGGTACCAGTCCAAGTAGCCCGGGTCTAGTGCCTGTCCGGAGGTTAGCAGAGCCTGCAATGATGTTTCCCTCTGAAGGGAGGAGGTACCGGTTGCCGGGAGGCCGCTCCGCCTAGGAAGTCACCGCCCAGGAGGCCAGTAGGCCGCTATATCTTTCGGAGGAGCAAGTAGCTCCTCCTCATTTGCGGTATGCAAGAATTGGCGACATGCTGCTGGAGCACAGCGCTGGGCTGGTACAGCGCTGCTTGGAGGTGAAGAGCAGCTGGCGCTCAGCCTGGCTATGGCGAGCAGCCCAGCCTGAGGAGGAGGAAGAAGGGGGCGAAGGAGGAGAGTGGCGAGGCACCTACCTGGCTATGGTAGACACCATCTTCATCACCTTGTTGGGCGCTGCATCTGGGAGGCCCCAGTTGGGGTAGTGCTGCACCAAGGAAGCTTGAGGCAGGGCTTGGCATGGCGGACCAGTCAGTAGCAGCAGCATAGCTGCTTTGGGTTGGAGAGAAGGTTAACCGACCCCCCATTTTTCAGGTCCATTTATAAGAAAACCATAAGGCCATTTCAACCAAACTCCACACCAATGTATAGAGAGCACTTCTTACTAACATATTTATAAAAAAAAAAAAAAAAACACATAAAACAGCAACCCAAAAGTGCATTTTCAGGCAATTTTGGCATGAAACAGGAGGAAGGTGGAGAGAGAAGGGGGGAATTGTCATTGGTCTTGCTGGTGTACATCTTCTTCTTCTTCTTCTTCTCTTTGTCTTCTTCTTCTTTCTCTCTCCTCTGGTCTCTATCTCTTTGCAAGTGCTTTCATTTCTTTCGCAATTGGGTGGCATTGTCTTTCATTGTGAATTTGCACTTTGGGAATGACCAGGATCGTAACAACTGGTATCGGAGCGGACTTACTTGCTGGCGAGAGGTGTTAGTCACCCTAAACCTAATTCCGAATTAGGTCAGGGCTAACCTAATCTCGGATTAGGG